CTACATTTTACACCAAAACGGAACAAAAAAGCAGGACCAACCATCATACATTGAATTCCTTGACTAACAAGAGAAAGATTCATTCATTTAAATAAATATTTAACAACAAATTGCCGGTTCTAAAGGGTTATTCAGTTGAGCCCGATGAGAGGGGATACAGCTGTGCACATGTCATCATCAACAGACGTCGTTTAAAAGTGACGTTTGAGTGAACGAGGACATCCCAATTAATACCTGAGGACTCCTCTGTCCTCGCCTCTCCTCCTCGTGGCTCTCGCTCGCATCTTACGGAGGCGGAGCTAAGATGCAAGTGAGGGAAAGGAGGAGGTGAAATATTCAATTGAGATGAACCTCCTGTTTATGTGTTTAAACGCTCGTCTTGCTGTGTTTTTTCCAGGAGCAAATGATGCGTAAGAAGCAGGCTCAGCACCTGGACGCCCGCTACGTGACGATGGTGGAGAACGCCTACTACTACTGCAACCCTCCGCCCATGGAGAAGACGGTGAAGAAGAAGCGGCCGCCGCTGCAGGAGTACATCCGGAAGCTTCTCTACAAGGACCTGTCCAAGGTGTTTTATCTGAACTGCTTCACTGCCAGTGTCTTTTAGAATTGATTTTAGAATTATTTTACTGGTATTCAAAGCTCTTAATGGTTTGGCACCCACTTATCTCACAGAGTCTTGTTGTATGCCCCTGGGCGAGCCCGGAGGTCAACCCCCCACTTTAAATGTTTCCTTTTACGTTGTTTTTTTAAAATATTTTAATCGTTTTTTTAGAATTATGACATTTTTATTACTATATTTTTTTTAAAATTATTTCTGTTGTGCCTACATGTTCACTTTGTTTATGGGATTTTATATTGTTGCATCGACTCAGTTGTCTTGACCTGTCAGAGAGAAACCATTATTTATTTTTATTTATTTTATTTATTTTATTTATTTTATTTATTTTATTTTATTTTATTTTATTTTATTTTATTTATTTTATTTTATTTATTTATTTATTTTATTTATTTATTTTTATTTATTTATTTTATTTTATTTTTTTAATTTATTTTATTTATTGTTTTTTATTTTTAACTTGTGATGTGTCATGTTGTAAAGCACTTTGAGCTGCATGAGCTGTATGAAAGTGTGAGATATAAATAAAGCTTTATTATTATTATTATAAGGTGACCACGGAGAAGGTGCTCCGGCAGATGAGGAAGCTTCCCTGGCAGGACCCCGAGGTGAAGAGCTACCTGATCTGCTGCATGGTGAACATCTGGAACGTGAAGTACAACAGCATCCACTGCGTCGCCAACCTGCTGGCGGGGCTGGTGGCGTACCAGGAGGACGTCGGGATCCACGTGGTGGACGGGGTGCTGGAGGACATCCGGCTGGGCATGGAGGTGAGGAGGAAGGGTCTTATACTCCATGCCTTTTACACTGTTAAATTGTATTCTGTTAGTCTTGTATGTGTTTAACAGAGACATATGGTTCAAGCATTCAACGCTTGTATTGTCATGTGTACAGAGCTACAGTGTAGTTATTAGGGATGGGTACCGGACCCCGCTATTAAAGGGGCCCCGGGGCTGAATTATTAAAGACCGTGGTAACGTTAAGCTCCGACGTTATCGGCCTTTTTATCGGTACTGGAGACATCTAAAAAATATATATCATATGTATTATAGCTACACAAACATTATATTACAGTTTTAGTTTCGCCAACTCCGTTTCTAATACGCAAAAAGACTGCAAAATGAGTCATGATTATTTTTAGTTTTT